TGTTTCTATCAGCGTGCTAAAATCTGAGATTTTAGATTCATGTCCATTTATTACAATATTTATTTTTAAGGCTGATACTGGAACACATTTTTAACATCATTATCTGATCAGGAAATCCCAACAAGGTTCAGTTTGAATATGAAACTGAATCTGGATCAGATTGAAATAAGAGTGATGTAATAAGCCACAGATCTTAAGATTAAAAGCTTGAAGGAAGAATGATTAACTCTTCTCTCTCTGTCTCGGTGAAGGCAGCAGTGCATTTTTTGTTTTCCCACATTATATTTGTCTCCTAATATTTTAAAGCAACTTTATAAACTGACAGTGAGCATGGTGTCAATGTTGTATTTGCAACCAGAGGTAGAATTGATCTATAATGAGAAGTTCATGGAAGATATGAACAGCAGAGGATGAATGTAAAAAAGCTCAGTAACGTTTGGTCTTCCTCCAGAGCAAAACTCCACCTTTAGTTCAGGGTTCATCTCTTTTGCTGCGTTCACACCGGACGCAGCAGGAGCAGCAAAATGCTGCTTCCTTTTTGCTGCTTTTATCGGTTTTGTTCTGACACTAAAGCAGCTTTGCTGCTCTGACTGCACGGTCGAAAAGTGGGTCTGACGCGCGTTGGGCGAAGCTACTCTATCCTTTCTTTGCCTTGCAGCTGTATTTGCTGTGATCAGTGGGAATAAAGTAGTTTTAATATGTTTTTAAGTGAGAAAATCCACCTGAAAACTTAAAAAGTGCAGTCAGTTCATCCAGATTACCATCCTGCCTTCCAATATTATTTCTGTCGGTAGGAATCCCATTCGACAGCAGCCTACGGCCCGGTCGCCTTCTCGCGGTTCGCGGCGGCGGCTGGAATGTGGTTTTCATGTACATAATCCAAACTGCAGGCACCAGGATAATAAAAGCAAACATGCTTTGTCGGCAGGTTTCAGCATTTTAAGTTAATTTAGGCATTATTAAACTGTTTCAGAGGAGCGATCACAGCGCTCTGTATCATCAGCGATGTGTCCGTCTCACGGCCAGCTCCCAGATCAGCTTCTCTGATTGGTTGATGCGGCGCGTCAAGCAGCAAAAGTTCAATTTTTCCATCTCGAGCAGCAGCTGCTCAGACGCGCTGCGGGACCTTTTGCTGCGCCTTGACGCGCGTCAACCATTGACCTTGCATGTAAACTCGCTGCTTCTGCTGCGCCCGGTGTGAACGCAGCGTTAATCCCAAGGAACAAAAAAAAGGAAGAGAAACAGTCACCAACAACGACCTAAGACTTTTTTTAAAGATGCGTTTTCCCTGCAGGACCTTCCCAGAAAACCCCCTGCAGTGAAACTGACACAAAATACATGCAGAGTTTATCAGCACTAAAGAACCTACAGTTAATTTGTCTTTTCTAAAATTATCTGAATTTAAAGTGGTTCTAATGTGACTTTAAAGTTGAAGCTGGTTACATTTTTTAAAGCCTTATTCTTTGGCTTATTAATGATGCAAATATTAAACAAAAATAAAAAATATCCGCTGGTACTCATCTCTCACAGACAGTCATCACCTGCTTTAAAAAATGAAAAGAAAAGCCCATCTCTCTTCAAAGATAGAGCATTTCCTCCTTTATGACGCAGCCAGGGTACCAACCTGTTTTGCTCCTCCAGCTTGGCGAGCAGCTCCACATCATCGGGGCTAAGCTGCGCCGGCGAGGACGGCGAGAGGGCAGGCGAGGACAGAGATGTGGAGGAGGAAGTGGCGGGGGTCTGTAGAGATGTGGGCGGGGCCACCTGGCTAGCCATCTGACTGACAGTGTGGGAAACCGAGTTCTTTACCCATGAGAGAGTAGAACTCAGCTTTCCAGCAACCTTGTCTGTCGCCACCTGCAGAGGAGAAAGATCCCAAAAATCAGTCTTTTTATTCACACGTTAACAGGCATCGTTCCAACCTCAGAGAGCTCAGTTTCACATCCGTGTCACACCTTTCTTGTTCTCATGTTTATTATGACAAGCAAGCATTTAAATTCAGTTAGAAGTGAAGATCAGACAGCATCCAGTCTGTGTGGAACCGATCGATGATGCTGCTTAGCTTTCAGCAAATTAGTTCATCCCTCTCTGATTTCCCAATCAATGCTTCAAACCGCTTGCTCGTGTAGCAGTAAATACTTGCAGAGTCAGGCCAGAATCATGACAACCAAGAATGGATGCGGACTAAAAACATCACCGTTTAGCCGTCTCCTTTACAGATTAACAATAACAAAGCTCCGTTATAGATAAAACAAGAATACAGGGAACGCCTTTACTTTAATATGTCACCTTCACCCTGAAAACTATGGAGTAAAGTTTTTCCATTAATGTTGAAAAAATAAAAAAGGCAATGCAGGAATAAAACTTTGAAATAACTGCTTTTTTTCCTCAGATTTTATTCTTTCACTTTTTTATATTTTTTTCTATAGATTTTATATTTTTTCTATACTTTATTGAAATTTCTATTTTTTTATATTTGCTATTACGAATCCTATTATTTTCAAATTGTGTTTTACAGATGACATTTTCTTCACATCAAGCCAATAGAAACGTTTGCTCTTGACCAATAAAAACGCTGTTGCTAAGCTCCAACAGGCAGAGAATGTGAGCAAGAAAACTCTATCGAAAATAGAAAGCAATCAAAGAAAATTTTTTAAACTGAAAGAAATGGTTAAGAAATTTTAAAAAAAATTATTATGAAAAAAAAGAATCTGAGAAAACGGCAGTTTTCTCTTTTTTTTTCTGATTTGCATTTTTTTAAATTTCCATTTACAAAAAAATTGCCAACAATAATGGAAGAGAATTTACTCAGCAGAAGAGCGACACTTAATCTGAGCAGAGATCAAACCTTGGCTAACTATACATGCTAGCATACATGCCTATTATGGTAGAATAAAAAGTTTTAAAGCATTCCCTTTTCATAAACACTGTAAGAAATAATAAATAAACCCCTCTGTTATAGCATAAAAAGTAACATTAACTTTCCTACCTGCTTTTTTCCCTCCAAAAAAATCCAACCCCTTCAGCTTCTCTCCATGACAAACAACTTTACCAAGAAAGGATTTGATTTTAAAACGGCTGAACTTTAAGTTTCACCAACAGCCTCTTCTGAACCTTCGACCGACTTCACACAGCCTTGCAGTCATATGCTGATCATACAGGCAGGAGGGGTCAAAGTGCTTTATTCAAGATAGTACTTCTAGTCTGCTGTTTAAATCAGGCAGCTCTGCTTTCCTTAGAAAAGAACGAGTGGGAACACTTACAGCTCTACCAAAGAGAGTCACCGCCTTTATTTTACCAATAAAATGAGTTATTTTATTCAGGAAACGGAGCCTGGCTGTAGTAACACAGTAGCAACACAAAAAACAATCTAAAATGGAAGATTAAAAACCTTTAAAAGAAGGAAAGTTTTATCTCTTTATCTATATTCCAAGAAGATTCTCCCTGGCTTGAGCTTTTATGATTCGCCTTTATGATTATATTAGGTTTTGTTTTCTCTATTGTACAGTGTTGGATTTGGTTGGCTCTACCCTCTTATGAAACACTTTTTAAAACCCGTCTGTGAAAATAAATAAAATTCATCTCAATTACTTTAGAGGAAACAACAACAAAAGAAATATGTTTTAAAATGAGAGAACAATGACCTATGATACAAAAAAAGACCGTTAGAGATCAGATATTTGTCTAAAATTAGTGCCTCTGATTGAAACTGAGGATGAAGATATGAACCACAACAAGGAAATAAAACCAAACAAATGCAGTTTTTAAACAGGATAAAGATGGCAGTGGTGTGCTTTGCTCAAGGAAGTCAGAGAGAAACAGTTTATAGTTTATTGATCTAAAAAAAAAAAAAACAATGCTTTTCCACTGAATTGCTTCCTATGACACAGGGCCATAAAAAAGTAAAAAATAAAGCAGTAAATATGCCTACATTTAAAGGGGAACGTCAAAAGGATCATAAACGAATTTCAACATAAAAACTAAAAGTGGTTCATGCTAGGGGAGGGCAACATGAAGAAAATTTAATATCATGATATCTTTGGCTATATCACAATACACAATATATATCACGATAAGATCAAATAACCTTGAAAACTTTATGTTCTTAGCCACATAATGCCTAAAGTTGCATTTGTATATGTCAATTAACACTTTATGTTTGAAAAATTGATTGCAAATTAAAGCTTTATGTAAAATTATTTATTCAAAGCATTTTTTTCACCATCGGCTGCACATAGAAGCTTTTCACAAATGACAACTTAAGACTTATCTTTTTTCCTTGGCTTTTTGCACAATTTGAGAGGTTTTACTTTGTTTTAATCTGTTTGTATACTAATAAGTATTTTACACTTGTTTTTGTTTTTTTCTATTTTATAATTTTATTGTATTTTATGATTGTGTACAGCACTTTGGTCCTGTCCGGTGCATAAAGTGCACCGGACAGGTAAACATGTTTTGACGCGTTATTGCTGTTTTTATTTCTTCTTATTTTTGTTTTTTTCATTGTAAAATTCCTACTGTTGTGTTTTTAGGTAGACAATTTTAAGAACTGTCCGGGGACAACAGATTAAAAATAACCTTATAATTCTGGTGCAATTGCAGGAATGCTTATTAATGTACACTGTCCCTGAAACTCAGAAAACAGACCGCTTTGTGGTTTGGAGGAGGAGCGAGTGATGCGTTCATAGCATATGGGCTCAGTCTTGCCATGAAAATTTGCACTCGATGGTCGCAATAAAGTCATTTTAACCATCGCGTGGAGATAAATTGAGACAGAGTATAGCTGATATATCGCCCACCCGGTTTGGACCCTCCTTTAAAGTAGGGCTGAAACAGTTATTTAGATTAATTCTGATTAATCTTATTAAAAATTGGCTGTGTACTGAACAATAATGTACCAACAGCAGTAATTATAAATATTCATGAACATAAATTATAACAAATTTCTCCATTAAAGATTAATTTGATGTAATGTTACATTAATATTTGAAATATTTGTCTATTTATAAATATTTGTTCACCAAAAGTACCTCTTTCTACATGAATTGATTACTGAAAAAAACAGATGAATTGATTAGTAAAATACTAGATAGGTGCAGCCGTAGCTTAAAGACAGCTGTGGGTCAGGGGTAAGGTTGAGTTAGGTCAAAGGTCAACATATTTAACCCCATTGTGTAGCTTACTGCGAACCAGCGTCCTCCCAAAGCCCATCATTGATCATAGGACTGCAGAGGGGAATGGTAACTATGGAGAGGCTGCAGAGAAGCACAGCTCAGGTATCAGGACAGCTATTGTCACGCCACTCAATTAATCCATCTGTGGTACAACAATGGCCTGTACTCGAATGAAACCAGAAGAAGTCGTGTTTTGGTTACCAAACAAACTCCTTCAGACTGAGGAAAACCAACACAACAAGCTAACCGTGACATGTGGCAGTGAACGCATCACACGTATAAAAGGACTGGGCTCAGAGAAGCTGGGGAAAGTTCATGGAAGATGGCTCGACTAAATACCCGGAAATTCTGAAGAAAAACCTGCAGGAGATGAGACCGTTTAACTCAATATCAATACCCAAGAAAGTATTCAATAATCTATACCACTTTTTGTTTCCATGGAGATAAGCAATTACTAATAATTAAAGGAATAAAAATATTTCTTTAAACATAAAAACAGTTGTAGGTTCGATTCCTGGCCCTGCTGACCTTTCCTGAATGTCTCTCCCTTGTCTTGTAAGCCACTTTCACTCAGTAATGCATAATTTTCATTCTTGATACTGATAGTTGCTACAAAATTATATTCTTCTCCTTTTTAATAGTGTAAGAAGAGGCTTAAGCCGGTCATACAATGTACGATTTTCTGCCCTTTTCGGCTCGATTCTCCAGTTGTGCGAGAATTTTATCAATCCGAGTTCCAGCCTGATGGTGTTGTGTAGTATATAGAGGTGTAAAACACATCCATCATGGCGATTCGATTCAGTATCGATTTCCTGACCCAACGATTCGATTATTTTCGATACGCCACGATTTGATTCGATTCCATAAATTTTTTTTACACCTTACAGGCTAGACAATGTTTCAAATTTGAAATGAATCAATGAAAGCTGTAATATCGTTATGCATTTTTTTTGAGAAACTACAGAAAATAGAGAAGTTGCTCTCCATTTATTCCTATTAAGACCTCATTCACTGAAAAATAATAATACCCCTGCCTTATAGATTCTGAAAGGCCTTGCATCAAAAAATACTGCACAAAATCAGTGCAATGAGTGCAATGCAATACCTTGGCTCCAGACGTCCCGCCCCCTCCACAGACGCTCCGCTGCACCTCTCCCAAATTGTAGCTGACCGCAGACAGCGCCGCAGACAGGAGGCCAGCTTGTTTTGTTTTTATGACCGAAATTGCGGAAAATAACTCGTGAAGTTTGACCAGCTAGAAGAGCGAGGTGCGCAAGAACGCTGGGACCCTTTTTCCACCTGGATCTCCGCTCTTTTTGGCCCTCATGTCCCTCCGTCGTCGGACTAAACTCACCCCCACTTCCTCTCCGCCTCGGCCGTATCTAAACCCACAGCGTGTAGCTGTGGGTTTAGATACGGCCACTCAGACCACGCTTCAATATTGAGCATAATTTAAAAATGCACGGGAGGAGAATTACGCCCAGGAGAAAAATGGATAAAAATAGACCGGATGAAAGAAAAACATGAATCTATTCTCTTGCAGACGTATCGATACATCTGATCGTCGGCTGTTGAATCGATGCATCGATACAAAACCATTATTATTTACACCCCTAGTAGTATACAGGGGGTAACGAGGGCAGATCTGCATCTCAGGACCACCTCCCGATCAGGAATAGTAAG